AAACCTTTCTCCTCCATCTGCATCGCCCCCGTCCTGCCTCTGTCTCTACTGCAGTACCTCTGGCACTGTTCCACCCGTCTTCTGCACACCTGTTTCCCCCGTGCAATTCTGGGCTCTCAAAGGACAAGACCTATTTCCTTCAGTTTCGTAATCTTCAGGCCAGGTACGGTGTCTAAGATGTTATTGACAAAGAGTCTATAAGAGGAGGAGAGGGACATGTTGGATTTAGTCATGTCTTTCTTTACAAGACAGGAAAAATTGTCTGAAATGATGTGTGCTTATCCCCCTCAAGAAGTCCTAGAAAACACATTCATCTGGCAGTTGTCCACACCCTTCATCTGAGAGATGCACAGAAACCGCTCCTAGACCCATGCCTGGGATCCACTTCGAGGTTGCCTCCGTAGTTGCCAGAATGCATCTTTTTCCTGTTCTTAAAAGTTAGAAATATATTTGTGCATTTGGGGGTTTTGTTGTTGTTGCTGCTGTGTTTTGCTTGTTTGTTTGTTTAGGTTTGTTTTTGTCGTTTGGTTTTTGTCATAGGGTGCATGTGCTCACTGGAGAGGAGATAGAGGGAAAGTGAAAAGTCACCCCCCAGGAGAGATGGCCATGCTACAATCTCTTCTCTCTTCTCCTCTCGGGATTCTGGGCATGCCCACACACATGCTTGGCATGATTTTCAAGCCACTGGATCCAAGACTCAAACACATGGTCAGCCATGTGGAAGTCCTGCACCTTAACCACTATGCCACCTGCTGGCCCCTATTTGTGCATTTCCGATCTCCTGTGGTGGGTGTGATAAAACAAAGCAAAACCATTTGCAATGTGGACTTCAGAGTTAGACAGATCTGAGCCTCCATTTCCTCATCTGCACAATCAGCGTTACTATTCCTTCTTGGGTTTGCTGAGGATTAGTGAGCAATGGACTTAGAAATGCCTCCTGCTCAGGGGACAACAGAGCCTCAGGATCACTAGTTGTGACTGTATAATCTCATTTGTGAATTCTACTAGAGCCTGTCAGGGCCGGGAGATGTGAAAACACACAGGGCAGCGAGGTAATCTCCTAAAATCTCCACACCAGCAGGTGGTGTGGAGGTTAAGGTGCTGGATCCCACATGGCTGATTGCACAGCTTGAGTCTCGGACCCAGCGGCTTGAAAATTATACTAGGTACAGGGGCTGACAGGTGACATAGTGGATTAGGGCACTAGAGTCCCACATGTCTGACCACAGTTCGAATCCTGGACCTGACATGGCCTACTGTGTTTTGAGTCCCAGACCTGATGGCTTACTTTCTCACTTTCTGTCTCTCTTTCTCTCTCTTGCTTTGTCCCTCTCTGGTCAAATTAAATAATAATAATAATAATAATAATTAAACAAAATTAAATAAAATAGTTCTTTTTAAAAAAAGAAAAGAAAATTATATCAGGTATGTATGCATGCTTGTCCAAATTCCCAAGAGGAAAAATGAATGAAAAAGGATTTTGGTGTGGCCATGCCCCCGGGGGTGATTTCTCACTTTCGGTCTCTCCGTCTCTGTCTCTCTCTGGTGAACACACATGCTCTATAGCAAACACTAAAAAATTCATCTATTTTAAAAAGTTATGACTGAAAAACTGGCAAATAAAGGGAAAGAATTGTTTATTCTGCCTTTCTTATATGAAATATACCAACAACCAACCAAATAATTAATGAGTAAAATTTTCCCTTTTGACAATATTTCATCTATTTGAGGGAAGAAAATAGAACACCACCAATGATGAATTACTAAATCTAGTTAATTATCATTGACGGTGACTAAATATCAGCCAAAGAAATAGAATCAGACGTGGCAGGCCTTCTGTTGGCCAAACAGAGCATCCATTATGAAATCGTTTTGCCAAAAAACAAAATTATACCCAAATTTAAAAACCCAAAACCTTTGGATCCAACTATCTATCAGCTTATAGGAAACATTTAAAATCCAAACTATAGGACACCCTCTAGTACAAAGAATTAAGTTTCTGCCACAGATAGAAAAAAAGAGAAATAAATAGAAAATTTATGATTAAAAATACCAATGAGACATATCAACCAATCAAAATATATGGACCTTATTTGGAGCTTGACTTTTTTTTTTTTTTTTTTTTTTTTTAAGGTTTTTGTCTGACGGGCGCGCGCTCGCCAGACAGACAGAGAGAGACAGAGAGACAGAAAGCGAGATATCACTCCCCGGGGGGGATAGTCACGCCGCAATCCCTTCTCCTCCATTCTCCTCTCGGGATCTTGGGCACGCACGCACATGCGCCCGGCGTGAGTTCTAAGCCACCGGGACCGGGACGTGAACCGTGGTCGACTACGTGAGAGTCCAGCGACATAGCCATTACGCTAACTGCTGGTTCCTCGGAGCTTGACTTTTTATAAAAAAACATTTATAGCATTTATGAAACAACTGGGTAAAAGAGAATATGAATTATCTT